CAAGTTTTATTTTCTGACTGATGATATCTTTGTGTTTACTTGTGCCTTTAAATATTGCTTTCCCATTTTCAGTATTTTGTGGGGGAACAAACGATGTCTTACATTGTAATGAGTGGAAAACTTGATTGAATTTTTCAGTCATTCACAGTAGGTTGTTTTTCTGTTATGATATACATGAAAGAAACTGTAATTAATGGAGAAGAACTCTTTAAACCCAGAAAATTGGATTTGGTAAGCCTCATGCCTTAGTACCACTTTGGTATTCTTGATTACTTCTTACATATGCTTGAGATTTCACTTATATGCAGTATTTTTAGAATTAACTTCATTAATTAATTTGGAGCAGTAGAAGAAAAAAAATCTATTGTGGAAAATTATTTTGTGAAGCATTTAGTACATTATAAAGAAGATAAAAGAATACAAACATTTGAATCCAAATAAAATAGACTGACTTTTTCTTTTGAATTAAAGTTTGATCTTATAGGAAGTGAAAATTTAGGCATTCTGGAGCTGTTAACAAGAGAGTCATGGAAGCTGGAAATAGCAACCAGACATGGTTGAATTTGAGAAGAGTTATTACTGCACTTTGGACATAAGACCTCATATTCCATATTGACAAAATAAAGCAATTAGAATAATTCAAGATTCTTTTGATGAATGCACAAGAACATGTATAATTGCAATGATGTCCTCTGAATCTCTCAATCTTGATGTAAACACTTTTAGACATAGAAACAAATTTGGGATCTGTAATACTCTCTCAGCTGTCACATTTTAAAAATTCATTTACTTGTGTCATTCCATACTGTATTATAGAAGAGACTGCACATTGTATATGAATATAAGCTAGAGGATGCCACCATAAAAAGCTTGTTATGACTTCCAAAGTAGTAAAGTTTTTCCTTTCTTCTTTCTTTCTTTCGCTCTCTTGCCTTACTTCCTTCCTTTTATTTCTTCATTCCTTCCTCCCTTTGCTTCATTTCTATTCTTTTTTTGAGAAGTTTTCTTTTGAGATAGTATTGGCTGTGTCTTTTCTGTTATGTGAATTTAGCAGAGTCACTGTATCCAGGGTAGACATTAGATTGAATGACAGTTTGTCTTTTTTAGAAGTATTTTCACCTTGAACAATCTGTGTAGAAAACAGTGATGACATTCTGTAATTTATTCTGAAGAGGCATTGTTGCTATCCCATGACTTTGGTCACAAAAAATTTCAGGCACACATGAGGCTGTTGTATTATTGAGTATTGCAAATGATACATAATAAAAGACTAGAGTCTTGAGGGCATGTGATACTCTCCTTTAGTAAGACATGGAAATTAGTTTATGGACCTTTGTATGAGAAAATATTTTGTGTAACAATCATTAAATACTCCTTTGTATGGTTTTTCAGGGTTCAGTCCATTAGGAAATCTGGAAATTCCTGGTGTCAGATATAATTTAAAATTGAGCTATTTCTTTGTTTAACCATCCTGTACTTCACAGAACATCCCAACATCTTTTAGGTTGGTCAATACTCATGATCTTCCAGCTTCCAGAATGTTATGATAGTAGTCATGTGTTTTGAAAAGGAAAAAAAATATTTTTTTATGCGTGCGTTTTTTTCTGCTTTGTTTCTCTGTGTATCCCTGGATGTCCTAGCACTTTTTCTGGACACCAGTCTGGCCTCCACAGATTTGCCTGCTTTGCCTCCAGATAACTGGGATTAAAGATGTGTGCAATCACAGGCCAGCTATAAAACATTTTTTTTGTATCCGTTTGTTGATTTACAATGTGTGTATGTAGTTGGTTATACAGATAAGGGGACAAAAACAACTTGTGTTTTTTACCTCCCCCTCCCACTTTCTACCTCATGTGCTCCAAGGATTTACCTCAGGTCATTTGGCTTGTTGACCAAGTGCTTTTGCACACTGAGTCAGCTTCCTATTCATGATATATTAAAGATGGCTGGGACTGGAAAAAATGGCTCAATGATTAGGAATTTTGGCTTCTCTTCCATTGTTGGATTTCCAGCACTCACATAGTGACTCACAACCATCTGTATCTCCAGATATAATTGACTGTCTTATTCTGGCTGCCTCGGGCATTAAATATACAGATCCCAGTCATACATGCAGACAAAACACCCATGTACATTAAAACAAGATTGTTGAAAGTAAATAGTGGTGGATGTTGTGTTCATTGAGCTACAGTACCACCTCATCGGAACCTGTAAAATACAAGTTCCATGCTGTGCCTGAACACACCCATCCCCAGAGTCCTCAGTGACTCCCTGAGTAAGGTACAGATGGTGACTACACATAGCAGAGCAAGAGCGACTCCCAGAGACACAGTTGCCAACTGCAAGGATTAAACCAAGAGGTAAAGACACTGTCTGTACAAACTGGAAGAGAAGATGCATAGGCACCAATGCAAGAATTGGTGCCACCCACAATAGGAAAGTTCTCCCACTTCAATTGATGTGACAAATATAATCCTCCTCAGAAGCACACATGTATCAAACAAAACTAGAAGCACTCTCCTTGAGACTTTTCTCTAAGATGATTTTAGACTGTGCCAATTGACAATTAAATTAGTCATTTTATATTATATTCCCTTTGCATCTATCTCTCCTACTTTACCTGAGGCCTCTTTGATTACTTAAGCAGTTTAAATGTACTTTCATATGTAATATGCAGTTGCACACTTGTGCACATTCAAACATATGTACTTTTCTTAATCAATATAAAGTTTTGTGATCCACAAGTTTAAAAAAAGTCATGCAATGGGTTTTCTTCTGGTAATTTCTTTTTTTTATTGAAATGAGAATACATGTTTTTTTATTTCAAATGATATCTGTTAATAATATTTTTCATACCCAGAATACATTCCATATTCTTCATCCTTGACTTTTCACCATTAAAATTCTTTCATTCTCTCATTAGAAACAAAGACATCCAAAATATAATAATATGGGCAAATGCTAAAAATGAACATATAAACAAGAGTTGTACAATAAACGCAGAAAAACAAAGGGATGATATTATGACTACCATGAAAAACATAGATATCCCATAAAAATGAAACACTGCAAATGTTAATTCACAGATTCATGTAAGGTAAAAATAAATATCAATAATATCAATAATGTACAATTAAATTAAAGATAAGATTTCTAAGAAGCCTAGCAGAAGATAGCCATTGAAAAGTAAACAGAATTGCATTTTCAAGCTTTCCTATTGTATTGATTTCTTTTTTTATCATTTTTTATTTTAATTTTAAATAGTTTGTTTTACATGTCACTCCCAGTTCCCTCTTCCTCCCCTCCTCCTGCACTCCCCTTCCCCCCACCCTCCCACCATATTGCCAAATCCTTCTGCACAGGGGATATCTAGAGTATGTCATTTCACTCTGGGTAGGGCCCAGGCACTCCCCTAAGAGTCCAGGCTGAGAGAGGAACCCTCTTTGTGCTATAGGCACATGATGACTGTTTGTATTCCAGGGATAGACACTGATCCACTGCTCAGAGAAAGAAATCAGAGAAATATCACCCTTTATGATAGCCAAAAACAGCATCAAATATCTGGGGATAATGTTAACCAAGGAAGTGAAAGACCTGTATATCAAGAACTTTGTGTCTTTAAATAAAGAAATCAAAGAAGATACCAGAAAATGGAAAGATCTCCCATGCTCTTGGATTGGTAGGATCAACACAAAAAAATGACAATCTTTCCAAAAGCAGTCTACAGATTCAATGCAATCCCTATCAAAATTCCATCACAATTCTTCAAGGACCTGGAAAGAACATTAATCAACTTTATATGGAAAAACAAAAGGCCCAGGATAGCCAAAATATCCCTATACAATAAAGGAACTTCAGGAGGCATCACCATACCTGACTTCAAGCTCTATTATAGAGCTATAGTCCTGAAAACAGCTTGGTATTGGCACAAAAATAGGCAGGTAGACCAATGGAATGGAATTGAAAGCCCTAATTTTAACCCACACAACTATGAACACTTGATTTTTGACAAAGAAGCTAAAACTGTACAATGGAAAAAAGAAAGCATCTTCAACAAATTGTGCTGGCATAACTGGGTACTGGTATGCAGAAGGCTGCAGATAGATCCATGTTTATCGCCTTGTACAAAACTTAAGTCCAAATGGATCAAAGATCTCAACATAAATGCAGCCACACTGAAACTTTTAGAAGAGAAAGTGGGAGATACTCTTCAACAAGTTGGTGCAGGAGACCACTTCCTAAACATAACACCAGTGGCACAGGCACTGAGATCGACAATTTACAAATGGGACCTTCTGAAACTAAAAAGCTTCTGTAAGGCAAAGGACACAGTCAAAAAGACAAAAAGGCAGGCCACAGAATGGGAAAAGATATTTACTAACCCTACATCTGACAGAGGGCTAATCTCCAACATTTACAAAGATCTCAAGAAACAAGTCTCCAAAACACCATAGGATAAAATTAAAAGGTGGGGTACAGAACTAAATAGAGAATTCTCAATAGAGGAGGTAATTTCTTTATTCATGCTGTTATCAACAATGTTACCCATTCCTAGCAATATGAGATTTTTATCTTCATGTTGGAATTCTTTGTTGTCCTGAGACTTGGTCTCATGTGACTCAGATTGCTTTAATTCCAAGCTTTCTTTGTAAACTGCCCTTGAAATTATCCTCTTTTGTAGACATGCTAGGATTACAGCCATGGATGTTATAGTCATCAAAGATTTATTTATTAATAAAATAATAAGAGTTTAATGTGGATGTATACTATTTTCTATAATCCTTTTATATATATATACATACATATATATATTTACATATAGTCACTTACATTGTTTTGCCACATTAGTCTTAGAATTGGTTCCAGGCTCAGTAAGGAAAGTCTCAATAGAACAGTGATGATAGTTTTGATTTTTATTTTTTCTTCCAAATCAGAGGACAATGAAGGATTTTTTTCTAGATTAGTAGTCAAAAATGTCATGTAATGTAGGATGAGACAGAAAGTGAAAGTAGTGTTACAGCAAGCATTCTCATGGTTCCTCTCTTACCTTTTTCTAGAGCTCAGAGTCTTCAGGATATGAAGACAAGTTCCTGGCTTTGCCATTGTTCAGAGCTGAGTCCTCCCTCAGTGCTCTCTCTAGACGGGCAGACAGGGAGTGGATCAGTTTCTCTCTGAATTCCTGACCCAGAAAAACATAGAGTATTGGGTTGAGGCAGCTGTTGAAGGAGGCCAAGGTGCTTGCTGGATTCACCATGATGTGAACAATGTATGGTGTCTCCTTGGTCCAGATGTTGCATAAAAGCATTATCAATTGAAAAGGGAACCAACAGACAAAGAAGGAAACTGCTACAGCAGTGAGGACACGTAAAGGGCGGCTGGAATTCAAAAGGCCTCTTCTGCAGATCTTAGCAGCTATGAATCCATAGCAGATGACAATGAAGGACATAGGCATACTGAATCCAATAATGAAACTGACTATTCCTGAAACTGTGTTCACAGTAATAGATAGCTTTAATTGCTCCTCTGGAGTTGCAATCCAGGACTCAAAGTTAATTGTACAGTGCACATTCCCTCTTGCATCTTTTGCTGTAGACAAAAATAGGAAATGTGGAAAGGTAAGGAGGAGAGAAAGAATCCAAACTCCAACAATCACTTTTCTGGCCAAACCCATATTTCTGTGGTTCTGAGCCCATACTGGGTGCAGGACACAATTACAACGGTCCATGGCAATGAGAGTGATCAGGAACACACTAACAAAAAGGTTTATGTTCACTATGCTGTGGACAAATTTGCAAAGGAACCAACCAAAAATCCAGGTTCCTCTCATTAACATTGAAATTATGTGGAGTGGTAGAGTAGCAATGAAACAGAAGTCGCCCAAAGCCAGGTTCAGATAACAGATGGAGGTCACAGTGTGTACCATCCGGAATCCAGCCACCCAAATCACAAGCCCATTACCTAGCACACCAAGGACAAAAGTTATGGAGAGACCAACCAGTGAGAGTATCCATAGAACTCTTGAGGTGGTAGACTCATAGAACACAACTTCTGATCCAGTTAGTGAGATGGAGGAATTGGTTTCCATTTCATCTGCATCTGAAACATTTAAACAATGACTGTTTCTTAGATGTTGCTCTGTCTTATAGCATCCTTACTCAAAACCCACATCTCCTTTTATGGAAGGGTATCCATTCTAAGAGTATTAGAATAAAGCAAGTTCTCTGTTAAATGTCCCTTATATAAAGCATACTTCTATATGAATTCACAGAACATTATCACTTTTCAGACAGATTACAAAGCAGATTATAAGCTCCCATGTTCCAGGACTGATACTGAACTGAGTTTGTACAGGAAGCAGAATATGGGAAGAGGTGAATTAACCAGGGAGTAGGGAGCAGTAGATTAATTAGACTGTCCCTTGATTAAAAGTTTCCATTAGTTCTTTGTTGTCAAAGAAAAAATGCAGCTGAGGAATACAGATAGTTTAAACTAAGGGTTATTTTCAAACAAGGCATAAGATGTAGGTAGCGAGTTGTTAGAGTATGTTTACCAAACAACCATAGGTAATATAGGTGATATCTTTTTAATTCTAGTTGTAATATTGTTATCAGTTTGATGCTGTCTATGTATACTTGTTCCCCTTTTGTTGTTTTTTTTTCTGAGACACGGTTTCTCTGTATTGTTTTGGAAGATGACTAACAAATGTGCACCAGATATTTGTTTATTTCTACCTCTCCAAAAACTGTGCCTACAATCACTGCCCCATCTCAATTTCCCAGGTTTTTGTTTTGCAAGGCAAGTACTTAAACAAGTGAACTGTGCAACAGTGCTTCATATTAGGCTATATTTTTCCACAATCTTCCTGAGAGTTCCACAGAACAGGAATGAAAATGATACTATAATGAAGCCAGGACTCAGACCTTACAAGAAATTTCCTTAACATTTTAGATTCTGATATGGAAGAGTTCAGCTGTGACTTTAAGAAGGATTAATGACAGGAGGGAATTCAAGAGACAATTTGCAACACAAATTGTCAAATATCTAGTGTTTTGTCAAGGTCATATTAAGTATAAATCATATTCTGCACATGGCATATTGCGAAAAACACCCAGATATTTACTTCTTTCTGATCTAGGTTTAAGCAGTCTCTCAGGTCCTACCATTTTTGATTGTTATTTCTATTAATCTAAGTACTTGTTTGATCTAGAGTGAAAGAGAGCCTTGAATAGATGATACCAAAGTTTAATAATGTGCATCTCCTTGATGGTCTGCAAGCAGGAAGTCAGTGAAGGGTGTATCTCATCTCTACCTTCTAGCCATTGTCTTTCATTGACCCTGCTTCCAATAACGTTCCTCACTGCTTGGTATACTAAGAGTGAGCATGCCTGCTTATTTAGTGCTATGTGGAAGAGAGTATATGACATAATGAATTTTGGTGGAGTTCAGGGCCTCTCTTTATCTGCATCATACAATTATATGTATACTATACATGATGTTCATATTTATGTTAGTCAATCTAAAAGTTTTAACTATTTTTAAGGTTATTTGTGATTTTTTTTGAGACAAGGCTTCTCTGTATTGCTTTGGAGCCTGTCCTGGTACTTTTCCTGTAGACCAGGCAGGCATCAAATTAACAGAGATCCACCTGCCGCTGCCTTCCAAGTGCTGTGATTAAAGTCATGCAACACCAATGCCCAGTTATTTTTAGGTTTTGTAAGAGTTCATGTATGTTTTGGGGAATTGGGGAAGCTAGAAAAGCCCATTTGAATAGTGATAGTGATTTGGGTTTAATTCAGTTTGTTTTGAACCCTGAGTCCTTCTATCACACCAAATGTGACAAATAATGCTTACTCTGCTTCTCTTCTTGTACCTGTTTAATTGATCCTCTCTGCTAATTAAGACAGAGTTTTGTTCAGTGAAGATGCCATTTCCACCTATTCTAAGCCCTGATCAATCTGGACAGTAGAGTTGCTTCTGTTTATGATCTTTTATTAGAGCCGTCTACATGTCACTGAATTTCTTGATAAAAGTACTATGATAGGATGTCATCAGTGACCTGGGATTTCTTCTCTACCTTTCTTAAGAAATATATTGTTTTGTGTTTAATGGAATGCTTGAATTTGTGGAGAGTACAGGGTGCATCTGTAACTGATGAATTAGCTTCAACTACTGCGTCTCTGTAACCCCTCTCCTCTGTTGAGAAAACTTGACCTATCTTTAATGCCAAATATGTATATTTTATATCTATTTATTTATTTATTTTATGTGTTTTCCTGATTCAGTTTATACTTACCATATGCATACAATCCAATGAAGCTCCTGAATTGAAACATTACCTCCAGGAGAGAACAGGGAAGCTCATGAAGCTTAGCAAGTAAACAATACACAAGCCTCAAGAGGTCATGATACTAATTAGACTGCGAGGCCAACTCCAAGTTACTGGAAATAGAAAGCAAATGCTAGAAAATGAGAAGTCACATTAAGTGTGAAGTAGGTCAGTCTCATCTATGAAGAGCCATGCCTATGATTCATGCAGAGATAGTTTTCATGAATCACCACATAGGTTGGGATGGGTTTTTCAGTGACAAACTTGTCTTTGAATTTTCTTTACTCTTAAGGTTGACCTATCATTCATCCTCCTGTAAGTAACTCCAACAAACTAATTGGTTCACTGTTTAAGAATTTCAGATTATCAAGACATTGGTTTGTCATTTCTCCACTGTGTGTAACTAAGTAAATGTCTGTGTTATACATACTCAATTTAAGCATCACACAACGTCAATTTAAAACCTGGTCAAGCACTTCAAAGATTTGTGGCAATTTACCTGATTTGTGTTCTTCAATGAGCTAGGAATCACCAAAGAAGAGCCAAGTAGATTAGTTTGTTAAGTTTTGTGAAAGAAAACACAACCAGCTGATAATATCATATCCATTGATCTTATTGTTATTCTGGATACTGGAAACCCAAGATGAAGGTGTTAGCTTTTCCTTGGACTTCTTTACCTGGCTGTCTCCTCCACATGTTCACACATGGTCTTCCCTGTGAGTTTAAACAATCTGGGTATGTCTTTGTTTTCATAAAGACACTACATATACCTATTTATACTTCATTTTTACCTCACCATTAGGTTCCTACTTAGCTTTAATTATTAGTTTAAATATTCTGTTTCCAGGCCAGGTGGTGGTGGTACATGCCTTTAATACCAGCAATCAGGAGGCAGAGTTAGGCGGATCTCTTTGAGGTCGACAGCCTTCAAAACAATACAGAGAAACCCTGTCTCGTAAAACTAAAAAAAATCTGTTTCTGAATAGTTACATTTTGAGGAACTGTGATTAGGCCTACAATGTAAAAATGAAGGAAACCCCAACATATAGCATAAAATGTATTTGGAATATGTTTCTGAAGTCACAAGCAAATTAGGTGATAATCTATAATCATGGTTTAATCCATCTGATTTTATACAGTCTATGAGTCAAGATTGTTTTTTAAAACATAATAAAAACAAATTGTTTTTACTTTTGATTTTACTGACTTGGGGAAATCAAGTGATAGAAATTGTGATATAGCAAGGGATGTATCTATCTTGCATATGTTATGTCCTTAAGACACTTTTACGCAGTGTCACATCTCTATTATATGTCATTCATGCACTCACACTATTAAGCTAGCATGAGGACTTTGCAACTGCTGGGGCAGAGTATTTACTACATCAGCTGTTACAGAAAATTCTCACTGCCAGTGAAATGGCTTGGTCAATCACTCAAGTATTGAATAACCTTACCCAGATCCTTACTGAGAACTTTCATTGTTTACAAAGGCCTTTGTAGTGAGTTCACTAACAAATGGGGCTGAAGAATTGTCTTTACCATCAGGTATTTCTCTCACTCAGCACAGTTAAATGACAATGCTATTTCCCTTTGCTTTTACCTATGTTGCACAATGGAGCTATCTAGAACAGAAACTCACTTAAAGAGTTTTCATCTTTTTTACTATTTGAATAATTCCCTATTCATGCTGTCTTTTGAGTGTTTTCAAAGGTACTTGTATGATAACCACCATCTATTTTGCAATAAATAACAAAGCCTGCTTGTGTTTCAGTAAGTTATGTAGTGGATTATGATAGGCATTCCCTTCTTCCATCATCAGAAAGGCCTTTACAATCTGATCAGCTATTAATCAATGTATTCTCTAAGCCTTTGTGTTTTCTTGGTATTTGGGATGTTCTCAATGCAAAATGATGCTCTTTAGTATATAAATTTTACTAGAAGATGTCATTGTGAGTTCTGTATTCTTCCATTTGCATACCTCTCTCTCCCTTTAGGAAGGACCTAAAACGTGTCTTTTAGAAATCACTACAAAGTTGAGTTGGTAGAAGTTTAGAATACCATGGAATTGATTTAGGTCACCATGCCTGAGAGGCCAATGCTTTAACCCCTCTGACCGTATCAACTCTTTAAACATGAATTTGTCTCACTCTGTGTCTCTGTCTCCTAGGTCTTTCATTTCCACCTCTGCCTTGCACTGTTTAACATATATTATACTTAATCAGGACCTTAATTTTAGGATTCCATTTTGTTTATTATGATATTAAACACTCTGTCTCTGAATAGTATCATTCTTGCCTTACTCATGAGAAGAAAGATTTTGGACACCCACACTCATTGATATCTGTATTGTTGTAACTCGGACTCCTACCAAAGAAGTAGAAGAAGATGTTTAACATATTTAGTCTCTAAAACAATCCTTCCCACTCCCCAAATATTGGTTTAGTTTTTATGTTACTGTAAATCATATGGTTGCTACTTTATTGCTTTCTGGTTTCAGTTCTGTTATTCACTCCTCATTTTTTGGGACACTTTTTTCCTGAAATAATTAGAACCAGGATACTTATCCTAGGTGAATACATGCCGAGCCTTCCAGAAGAATGTCAAAAGCTTTTGGAAGGCACAGGTGAGAGGCTTTTTCCTGGAGATGGGCATAAGTTGGTGAGTTTGTACTCAGCACACTGGATGATCAAAAGACCATGAAATGAGATGTAGAAGGCTGTAGATATAGCTCACTTTGTAGCTATAATGCTTGCTTCAATCTTTCAGAAC